ATTTCCGAAGTGGTAAAAATGATTATTAATTTGTGCCCAGTCTTCATTTCTAATGTGTTTTTAATGCTATCAATTTCCACCTATTGCTTTAGATATATTCTACAAATTTTTAAATGTTGATTTTTCACTATTCTGTGATCCATTTTATTTCCTTTTAAACTTCCTTATCCCATAGATTATTTACAATTGTGCTTATTTGCCAAGGTTTTGGAGATTTTCTTTATCTTAACTATTTTCTAGTTTGAGTCCTTTGCAGTGAAAGAAGACACTGAGTATAAGTTCAATTCTTTTAAATTTAGTAACTTTGCTTTATGGCATGGGATATGGTTTTTATTGACTTTTTTTTTGCTTCGGTGAGTTATATAGACAATATTTACTTATTTAAAAATTAAAATTTGTACAATAAAAAAGCCAGTGAATTATATAGTTGAAAGTTCCTAATAGGGTAGATTTTAAATATTCTTACCAATAAATAAATAAAAATATAAGGTTATGGGTTTGTTAATTATCTTGACTTCTCCTTTCTATAATGTACACATCTACCCAAGCATCATGTTGGATTTATGGACTATCTATAAATATATACAATTGTAACTATCAATTAAAATTTAATAAATAGAGTAAAATGTTTTTCCAAGGGATTTGTCTACAATTGATTGTGAGATGATAAACCACATAGAGTAAGTTATAACACTATGGAACTTGTATAGTTGTCCCCTATAGGTTCTATGCACAGTTTTTTGTTTGTTTTGTGTTTTGGGTACTAGGATTGAACTCAAACCCTCCCACAAGATAAACATATGCTGTACTGAGCTATAATCCTGGCCTGGACCCTGATCCTATCATATCTAAAGAATTTTATATCATTACTATAGACAGAGTATTATCCAAAATAATCAATGACAGAGAAAAACAAAAGTTTAAATATGAAGAAGATTTGTAATGATGTTAAATCCATCCTTGCAACCATCCTACATGATTTCATGACCAGAGCCCGTAATTGGTTTAAATGTCAACATTTTAGGGCTGGGGTTAAAGTTCAGTGGTAGAGCACTTGCCTAGCATGAGCAAGGCTCTAGATTTGGTCCCCAGCACTGCAAATAAATAAATAAACAAGATTTCAAGACTTTTATCATCCTTTCAACTAAGTAATACCAGGAAGCAATAAAATGAAACAAATTTTTTTTCAATAACCAGAACCATGAAATATAGAAAATCTTTTTTTCCCCCAATATGAGGATTGAACCCAGAGCCTTACACAGGCTAGGCAAGCTCTTTACCACTAAGCTACACCACCAGCTCTCTTTCTAATTTGTTTTAGTTGATGCATTATAGTTATTCATAGTAGTGGGATTTGTTATTACATATTTGCACATGCACACAATATAACAAATAATTTGGTTTGTTTTATTCCCTATTACCTCCTTTCCACCCTCATTTGGTCCTCTTCCTCTATTGTTGTGGTCTCTCATCTGTTTTCATGAGATTCCCCCAACACACACACTTTTTTTCCTTTTTCCTCTCCAGTTTCCATATATGAGAGAAAAACATGACCATTGTCTTTATGAGTTCACTTATTTCACTTAATGCTCTCAAGTTCCATTCATTTTTCTGCATAGGACATAACTTAGTTCTTTCTAAGGTTGAATAAAACTCCACTGTGTACCACAGTTTTTTTATCCATTCATTCATTGATGGACACCTAGACTGGTTCCATGATTTGGCTATTATGAATTGTGCAGGTATTGCTATAGTATGCCAACTTTAATTCTTCAGGATAAATACTGAGGCAAGGTATAGCTGGGTCACATGGTAATTCCATTCCTAGTCTTTTGAGGAACCTCATACTGTTTTCCATCGTGGTTATACAATCACACCAAGAGTATAAATATGTCCCTTTTCCCCAACATTCTCTCCAGCATTTATTATTTTTATTCTTGATAACTGCCACCATAACTGAAGTGAAATGAAATCTCAGTATAGTTTTTATTTGCATCTCCTGATTGCTAAGGAATTTTTTTATGTATTTGTTGACCATTTGCATTTCTTCTTTTGATAAATGTCTGTTTAGTTCATTTGCCCATTTATTGATTGGGTTTGTTATTGTTTGGTTTGTTTTTGGGGGTTCAAGTTTTTAGTGGTGGTGGTGGTGGTATTTTGTTCAAGTTATTTACATATTTTGGATATTAATCCTCTTTCAGAATAGTAGCTGGCAAAGATTTTCTCTCATTCTGTAGATTATCTCTTCACACTTTTGTTTCTTTTGTTACTCAAAAGATTTTAAATTTGATGCCACCTCATTTATTAAGTCTTGGTATTATTTCGTGAGCTTTAAGAGTCCTATTGAGGATGTCATTGCCTGCACATGTCTGTTGGAGTGTTGATCCTATGTTTTCTTCTAACAGATGTAAACTTTCTGGTTTAATTACTAGGTCTTTGGTTCGTTCTGAATTGACTTTCATGTAGTCAGAGATAGAAATCCATTTTCATTCTTCTACATAAGGATATCGAGTTGTCCCAGCACCATTTGTTAAAGAAGCTTTCTCCAACATATTTTTGGTGCCTTGTCAAGGATCAGATAACTGTATCTGTGTAGATTTGTTTCATTGTCTTTTGTTTCATTCATCTATGTGTCTGTTTTTATGCCAGTATCATGCTGCTTTTGTTACTACAGCTCTGCAGTATAATTTGAAGCCTCCTGTATTACTTTTTTTTTTTTTTGCTTAGGGTTGTCTTGGCTATTCTGGGTCTTTTACTCTTCCAAATGAATTTTAGTACTATTATTTTCTAGTTTTGTGAAGAATGCCATTGGTATTTTGATGAAAATTGATAATGTAATTAAAAAAATTAAGCTGGAAAATCTGCTTAATTTTTCTCATACCCACCTTCAGAGAAAACCAATATATAAAAGCAGAATGGGTTTCTAAGACCCTACAAGAAGAAATGGTGCTATGTAACCCATTAGTTCTTCCAATGATACATTGTCATTTAGTTGGACAGTTAAGGCTCGGTTTATTCCAAGAGTAGATATTTTGTTGGCAGACAGGGACAAAAGATAAAATGTTGGCAAATAAATAATGACATGAAAGGCACTTAATTGTAGATTTGAAA